TCCTGTTGGAGACTAGACAATGAGAAAAATTATCATAGATAGTCAGTTATAAAAGTTTTTGGTTCAAACCCTTAATTTGTAATTGGTAAAAAATGACACCAAAAACATATAAATTTTTGAACAAGTTGGGTTGAGTCTCTAATTGGATCAAGTCTATATATCTCCCAAGAGAGGCAAATAGATCAAGTCTATCAAGAGTCTCTTTGAAGTCTTTAGCACATATTCTCAAAAAATGCTCTCTTGGTCTTTCATGTCTGCTCAAACTCATATTAAAATCCCCTACCAAAATTCACAAAAAATCTCTTTTTTTTTTTTTTTGCAATCATCCAAATCCCTCCACAACAAAGCCTTCTCTCTCCGTTTGGCTTTATTGTAGATACTAGTGAACACCCATCTCCACTAGTTTTTACAATCTTTAAACATGCATGAAATAGAACATTCTCTAACAACTCCTCACATTTAATAACCTCATCCTTGTATAAAACCAGACTCCCTCCATATCCCCCCCCCCCCAGTTGGTAGGTCTTCACGACCTATCTTCTTGGTCTTCCAAAGGCCCTGGATAATCTCATTAGAGATGGATTTCATTTTAGATTCCTGAAGACAAATCACATTATGTTTCCATCTATTCGTGAACCCCTAATCACTTGTCTCTTCTTATGGTAATTTTCATCCCTAACATTCCAAGAGATGATGCGACTAAACATGAATTAAACATCCAAAAACATCATATCTCCCTTATTTTCCCTTTTTTTGTAGATTGTCATAATTTATACTTGACTGTAATCTTCTCAATTCTTTAGAACTCTCTACCCTCTATTTATTTTTCTTCTTGTGATTAGACTCCACAAATGAGACCTATTCACTTTCAAAATGGCACCAAAATGACACCTCACCCCTACGTTTTAAGAAACACCAAAATGATGTCTTGACTTCGCGTTTTGGGAATTCAAATTTCAAATTTTAAATTTGACTTAACTTTACTTGGAACTGGGTCTTGTCTACCTTATATAGCTCCCCTATCTCAAATCCTCTTCTATACTTTTGACAAAACTTTTCTTTCTCCATACCTCTAGCTTCAGCCACAACTCTATTTTGCAAATTGGACAACGTACGGTGGCTGTCGAGTTTTCTCAACCTTCTTCTAGCTATTCGATTACTTTTGTATTCTTACTTTGACATCCCTATGCTTCCCTGGCACCTCAAAATTACACCCCTTCATTTCGAACAATGCCACTATCCTCCTCCACCATTTGGTGGTCTATGGGCCTTTAAGGATGAAAATTCGCCTCACTACCTCCCTTTTTCTCCTCTATGACTACGAACCTACCCCTCTTGTAGCCTATGGGCACCTATAAGTTATGACTCACTCCCATCTTATTGTAACCCCCATACCTTCTCGCCTCTACTTCAATAAAACTTGTGCAAAGCTCCCAACAACCTGTTCACTTCATGTTTTTAAAATGAAATTGAAAACATAAAACTCCCAATTTTCAGTCACCCTTATACCTTTCGACTTTTTCCTTCATAGACAACATCAAACGACTTGCTTTCAATGATAAAACATCTTCTAATATGAGGGAATATCCTTACCACCCTGTAGCGAGGCTATATTGGTTGTGTAGGTAATCTCAGTCTACGTCTGGTTTACTTCTCTCATCAAAACATGTAGGTTTCTTTTCTCTCATCGCTTATCTCTCATTGGCTTTTCTTAGGGAACTTGGATTAGATTTCCTTTTCCAAAGTCTTTTGTTATGTTATTGCTTCTTCATTTTTCCTTTACTTCTTCCTTCACTATATGTTTTTTGCTTCTTCTTTTTTGTTCTTCTCCTCTTTCCATCTTTCTCTCTTTCTTCTTCTTTAAACTGGAAGAATCCCTCCTCTCATAAATTATTGTCTCTTCCTTTCACCTCACTCTTTTCCTCGATCTCCTTTAAATTGTCCAGAACCAAAAGAAGCCCATGAAAACCCCTAAATCCCATAATAGAAAAGATCCAAAAGGAGAGCCCCCTCTTATACACTCTTTTTCCTTAGAAACACATATAGAACCCTCTTTTTTCAATTTTCTTTTCATCCAAAGAGGACAAAGACCGCCTCAATGTTCAATGGTCTCTTTATTTCCTTTACCAGGAAACCCTAAAATTAGAAACTCTAAAGACCGATGAAAAAAAAAAAGCTCCCCATTTTTAGGAGTAATGATTATTAAGTTTTAAGGCTGAAAGGGTTATATTAATAGTAATGATGATGGTAATAAAACAAAAAGGGGATAAGGATGGTACTTGATTCTTAGGATTAACTATGGAATAATATTTTAAAATATCGTGTTAAAAAAAGATTCTGATATATTTTATAATGCTTATACTTCTAGAACTCTATAAAGAGTAATTGTTAGGAACTAGTAAGTAAGGTTTCCACCAAGACAAAAAGTTTGTTAAAAAGTAGTTAAGAGAAAACATAGTTTGTTGACAATCTATTTTTTCCCAAAAAAAAAAGAGTTAAATAAACATTTTTTAAAAACTTTTTTAATTTTAGGTTGTTGAACTGTTTGCAATTTTATTTTATCAAATGGCTAAATTAAAATAAGTTTGTAAAAGTCTTATTCATATAGACTTAATCTTCTATCATCATATGTTGTTAGGTGGATTTTGCATGTACTCAATTCAACTAGAAGGTTAAGGGAAGGATAAACAAAGAAATGTAAATGCTTGGAAGAATATAACCCACAACATTTGATTTTTGTATTGTAAGTCCTTGTTCAATTGGTTCATGCCACTAGAAAGGTCCGAGATGACAAGCGCTCCAACTATGCAAATATCTAGCAATTTCCACACGCCACTGTAACAGAACAAGATAATCCTGAATGCATATCTAGCAAATACAAGAAACCTAAAAGGTTACCAACAAAATTTACAACATATTTTCATGTTTCAACAAATGAGATTTATGTAGTCATCAATGTCTTGGGGGATAATTGATTAAAATCATTCTCATATAATTAAGAAATTCCAAAAATAAAAACTCTCATAACTTTCTGTAGCATTTCAATCAACATTCTCCTAATCCAACAAACTCGAGATGAACAATTCGGATACAAATATCCATCAAAATGAAAAGTTAATGATTCTTACACAAAACTAAGGACTACTGTTACAAACCAGGCCGCGATCCTAAAAGCAAACATGATCCTCTTGGAACCATGCTTTATAACAACACCATGATCACTTCTAGATAGGCTTGATCTTAAAGTGAAGTGAGATAAGAGAAAATACAAAACACTTCAAGTCCTGCAGCCAAATATAAAATTTAAGATTAGAACCAGAATATGACATACATTACAAAAGATGACCAACAAGGGAGATCAGTAGACACACGTTGTATATGACCTTTATGATATGACTTTGAAAGCCCAA